GACTTTTTCACAAATATCTTGCTGAAACTTACCATAGCTCCCTCTTAAGTCTGTTTATCTGGGTTTTTGTAACTGAGAGTTCTGAAGTGGCATATTCAATGGGATTTTAAAATTCTTGTAAAATGTAGTGTGTCTGTGATCATGTGTTTTCTGTGCAAGAGGGCAAAAGCTTAAGTGGTCTGTTGAACGTGTGTTTTCTGTGCAAGAGGGCAAAAGCTTAAGTGGTCTGTTGAACGTGTGTTTTCTGTGCAAGAGGGCAAAAGCTTAAGTGGTCTGTTGAACGTGTGTTTTCTGTGCAAGAGGGCAAAAGCTTAAGTGGTCTGTTGAACGTGTGTGTTACATTTTCTGGTTTTTGTACAGCACTCGCAGGATTCAAAATTTTCTTTTCAAGCGGCTAGTTTACAAACATACCTTATTATGTACACACTCCCCAGTTTCTGTATGACATGCTGTTAGGAAAACAGGGATTCTGCCTTGCTGCTGTTGCCAGCAGCAGGGATTCTGCCTTGCTGCTGTTGCCAGCAGCAGGGATGGATTCTGCCTTGCTGCTGTTGCCAGCAGAAATATGAACTCAACTTGTGGTGCCATATCAAAATTTAACAACACAAATGTAAAACGTTAAACACATGTCAACTTTTGCTGTGAATGCTAAGTGACGTTAAGATTTGTATTCGCATTATGCAACATAAACAACCTGGAGAGAATGCAATATAATTCATGCATCATCTAATATTGATTACTATGGTCAGCTCTTGTATGAAAACACTCGTAAAAGGATAACGGTTGATAGACACTGTGCCCCCGCTGATCATAACATATTGTGGAAAGTAGGCTACTGAGTTTTGTAGAAAAACACAGGTAAAACAGAATATTTCCAATTTCAGGATTGGAACCCATTTGGTGATAGTTCCTTCTCTGCGTGATGTCCATCACGACTTCATATATCCTCAGCCTCCCTTCCAAATACCGGATAGTCTTCCAGACAAGGATGTAAGTGCTGGCCAGTGAGCATAGACAAAATATCCTAGATTAGCTGAGAGCTAAGAGTTTTTATGAGTACTTCATGTTTTCTCTGATTTTATCTGTTTAAATTTATATGGAAGCATCCAAATCGAACATGTCATTTGCCTTCAGAGCTCATTTATAACAATCTAAAAAGGTTTTATTTTTGGTTCATGCTAAGGTGCAAATTCTGAATGTAGACTGCATCATTCAGAGAAAACGAGGGGAACCCTTGCCCTGTGTTCTTAATGGATAAACTCTCGTGCATCACAATGCATGTAGCCATTGTTTGTAGCCATTGTTAGGCATGGACAAGGGTTTATCCACTACAAACACGAGGGTTCCCCTCTTTTTCTGTTTACTCCGAATGATGCATTCTACATTCCGAATTCACATCTTGGCATGAACCGAAAAAAAAAAAAACCTTTTTAGCTCGTCATTGTTGAAGCTCTGAAGACAAACGACACTGCATTCGCTTTGGACGCTTCCATACTTATTTGAACAGATAAAATCAGAGAAAACATGTTTTCCTCAGAGGTGCTCTTGAATTGGAGTGACCATTTGAAAGCAGTCTCCTGTAGGGTTGTGTTCACTGTTTTTCTGTTGGGGTGAAATACAAAGTTTGTCAAGAGGCAGATGCTGAATGCTGGGAGTAGCTTTGCACGAGTCGTAGAAGGACCACATGGTAAATCTCATGCAGAGCCAGCACCCAGGGATTATCATACCACTCTTGAGGTGTTTACTTTGATTCTGATGGTTCATTTATCAGTTTTTATGGCTTTGTAATGTTTGTCCTTTTTGTATGTCTAGAGATTACACTTTGTGTCTGACCCTTGTACACTATCCATCAATGGTGTTGTGTTTGGCCTGACATCAAGTGACATTCTGTTTCACCTTGGAAGCGAAGAAATCTCACAGTAAGTAAATTACTTTTTGCTAGTTTTTACTTTTATGGTGGTTTCTTTGTGATTCTTTACAGAACTATTACCTGAGATTACAATAAAAGAATGGGACATTACCCGTGGAAAATTGCATCACAAACAAGTGCTCTTGACACCATTTCATTTAGTTTGAAGAAGCAGTTCCTGTTAAGCCTAACCTGGGAGCTACTGACATTAAAATTGGAATCTTGTTCGATTCAGATGAGAATCCAAAACCTTTTAAAAATTTCCTTACATCTAAGTCCTGATACAATAACACATTAAAAGATAGAGACGTGTGGCTGTTGTAAAGTTCTGGTAAGCAGATATGTTTATGCCTTCAAATGGAAATTGTTTCTGCTTAATAGTGGCTATTAACAATTGAACACTTGTTTACGCTTGCAAACCTATTCAAACAAGAATACTGACTTCCATTTTATTGTTAGAAGTTGTGAAAAGTATAAAAGTGCAGAAGTGTTCATCTTTTCTCTCTTTCATATCTTCAGTCCACCAGGTTCATCAGATCGTCTAGGACGTCTGACGAAACACATCCTGACTCAACACAACTATTACCCTCTCTACCCACCCCCTGAATGCATGCCCATTGACTATGAACATTATGAGCAGTTTGCTCACATGGAAGTCACTCCTGATGTGTTCATTAGTCCGTCAGACCTCAGATGGTTTATCAAGGTGAGAGGACGTACTGTAGTTGTATGTCAGAGGATGTAAGCCCCAGCTGCAAAGTAGGAAAGACATCCACTTGTAATGGGCCTGTGAAGACTTAAAACATCGAAGACATTCTGGTTTATTTTCCCGACACTTTTCTTGGGTTGAATACTACAAGGAGAGGAAGTAATGTGGACATACATGTGGGGCATCTATCTTTTCAGAAAAGAGCCAAAGATTTTTTAATGTCTGCTTAAATTAAAAACCTTCAAAGAAATATCCTCGAAAAACAGCTACACTAGGTATAGTTTGGTTGAGGTTATGTCATTTTTCATAAGTTTTTTAGTAAATTTGTTGTTTTTTATGACAGGAGGCCTGTGGGTGTCTGACTATCAACCCTGGTCGTTTGACCCGAGGTCAAGTTGGTGGTACTTATGCAAAGCTGGTTATCACACCATCAGAGAATACCAAGACTGTTGGAGTAACTGCCCTGTCTGCTGCTCAGATACTCAGGATTTAGACAGAGAAAAGGATTTATAAGGAGGAATTGTGATTGGTATGAAACCTCCTCACTGTAAATGTAACCTGCCATTCATACCAAAGGGTAAAAACAGATTAAGGTAATTTGCTTGAACTTGTAACTGTCCTTTTGGTTATGAAAAGTAACTGCAAGAACAATTTTTAGTGGCAATGTTTTTTAGGTAGTTTAGTAGTTCAACCCTAAAAGAGCCGCATAATTTTTGGACCATCTCACAGCTGGGAATCAGCTCAACCCTCCAAAGTCTTTTGTCCTATGTCTGATTTTTTTAAAACTTGGCACGCATGTCACGACATTCATCTATAAGAATGTGATGTTTCTATGTAATCTTACAAATGCCTTTTTGTTGCAGTTATTTGGTCTAGTCCACACAAGTGCATCAAAATGTCTGCAATGACTTATTAAAATATGAAGGCTTTGCTCGTGAAAAAACTGCACTGCAGCAATGTCAAAAAATGTTAAGGGGGGCCTTCCCTGGGCTCTGTCAGGATTTGCTTTAATGTAGCATGATTCTGTGATGTCATAGTTGTGCCTTGGGGATTGGTGGTTTCTTTGTGTAATTTCCTTCAACTGATGAACTATCATAAGACACATGTACAACAAAGCCTAGCCTAGGCCGTATGTAGTAATGAGAGGCATTGTTTATCTTGCATTCCCATTTATGGTACATGATCAGAGAGCTATGTTCCTGAAATTACAGATTCCTGTGTCCTGACACTTGCTCTTGTTTTCAAACTTTGATTGTCAACAATATTCAAGTCATGGGAAGGATCTTGGATGTGTTGAAACCACCATGTGTTGTTCCTTACCAGTAGGAATGATAAGATTCAGAGTATTTATAACAGTTATTTAAGGTTTGTGGACACAACAAAGTAAGAACCAGACATTTTAAGAAATCTTTCCAAAATTTTATGCACTGCAAACTTGGAAAATAGTACAAACAACAAATGTGTGCATATCGATTCATAGATATACATAAAGACACTTGTCATGGAGAAAGTTCTCTGTTCAAATGGAAACGGTCCTTACACAAAATTATAAGTACAAAATTAAGTCTGATATTTTGATGGTTTAATATATGTCATACAATACAAGTGAATTACTTCAAGGACATCAAGTTGTATTATCCAGTTCCTGCCGGGGATTCCGGACACGTATGCTTTATGTGTGGGGCTGGGGTCTCCGAACTCGGACAAAGGGAACAGGGCCTTGTAACAAAAGACTGTACTTTGAAAAAAAAAACCAGGCTGCTAGGAATTACCAACATTTTTTCACTCTCAAAAGTGGAGATAATACAGCCTTGTTTTGGAACAGTATACCGCGGTTCGGGGCATTTAGAGCGAGCGGATTACCACCGGCGACAAAAGCGCCCCACCACCGCAGCGATGAGCCACACAATACCGCTGCATGCTAATCTGGCCCCTATTGAAAATAGGTCAGCAGCACATTGAGTCAGGTTCGTGAACAAAAGAATGTTATATAACATCGCACAATCTGGGCTCTTTTTACAAGGCTGCAGACCTGGCTGAAATATTCAGGCGTCAATAGATTTTGTCTGTCAGGCTAGATTGGAAACCAGGCAGTCCTTCACGTGTTTGTAAGTGTCCGGTAAATGAAGATAGGAATTTTTAAAGGATTTTGAAAACAGAAAAAAATGATAAATATCCCGGCCCAGCATCATCAACATTGATAACTGCCCCAGCAGGAAGTGGTTACAGTCTTCCAAGTAGAACTCAGTTTGTACATAAAATGAATAAACACTGCAACTGTCCAAAAATGGCTTTTGCTTATTTTAAAGCGAGATTAGGACGGATTTGAACATGGACGGAGAATGAAATTTTAATTTGAGACAAAGAAAAAATAAAAACTATCTCACAAAAACTGCAAAATGTGTCCATTCTAGCACTTCAGATTTCCTGTAGTAAAACTTCCACAAATTAAAACCAAACGATGCTGGATTTGAAGCAACTGCAACCAGAACTGAACACAGTTTCTACACATAACTGTGCAAGGCTACTTGCTGCCTATCTGCATGACCTTCTGACCTTGACAATCTCTGTGGTAAAGTGGCAAAGACATCTGTGCTAGTAATTCCAGGGATGCCAGTCGGTTCTAACTCCAGGGCTGGAAAAGTTTGAAAGTGGGCATAAATTCCCAGAAAAATTAGAAGCTGAACTTATTTTTTCCTCTTCCATTAATTCATTTTAACCACTTTCGACTTCCATTTTGATACATTTAGAACTCCAAACTTGATGCAATGTTTAACTGTGACACATGAAATGATGTTTGTGTATAGTTAGCCTGGCATGTTATGTACATGCTCCAAGCACACGCTCACAAAACCATTTGACGCACAAGCATAACTGACAAAGTGGAGTTCCTGCATTTGTATTTCAAAGGACACAATTCACACAGTGCCCCGTGCTATGTGTAAATCAATTTTTTTAATGTGAATTAGAGCACACTGAGATCAGAAATTTAAGCGCTGAATGCTTTTAGAGTTTTAGGAAAGTTGCTGTGTTAAAAATGTTGTTCTGGTACACAAATGCTGAAGGCCGGAGGTTTTCCCAAAAGGTGAAAGGTGAAGTTCCAGCATTTGCCAGAAGTCTGGTATCCTTGTAATAGAGGTAATGCTCATCAGTCATCTTTCCTGGTCAGTGTGGGATACATATTAGTATATCTTTTGTGCATACTCTCCATAACAAAGGCACTGACCAGAAAATTGGCTGCCTTGTTCATAATCCCTTGCACATTACTGAGTAAACATTATTTATTATGAATCACAGACAGGCAAAATGGCAATGTAAAATTAGCAACTCTCCAATGCAGAATTACAGCTTATGGAGACATCTGAAAACATTTCCTTACCTGACCATTTAAATATTAACACAGGTTATGCATGTTAAAATACAGCCACACTTAAGGCAAGTTATTGAAATAATAATCGAAATTTTTTCATGAGTAAAAATGGTTTCAAAATTTCAGCAGAAATATCTAAAACAATCCTCAGAGAATGAATACAAAAGAAAGTAACATTTGAATACCAAACCTTTTCCCTACAGCACTTGTTATATCTTTGATGAGTTACTCCCTCACAGCCACATCTTAAACTTGAAGAAAGCTTGCATATCTGGGTCGTCCACTGACTTCTTGTTCACACCAGCAAACACATTCATCAAGAGTTTGGTTTTAAACTTGGAGTCTAGAATTTCAACGTACTTCTCCAGACAACCTTTGAAAGAGAAAAAATGGAATTTATCAAGACTGTACTACAGAAACTGATTTCTGAATGCCAAAAATCAGCATGAAAAAATGTTGATATGGTTCATAAAAAGCATACAAAACCATCTTCCCGGTGAAATTAGTTTGGTTAAAAGAGAAGTAAGATTTTTAAAGGTGAATACAATTTTTATGTTCATTTCATGGAATATTAATTAACCACTACCTGCCGGGCGACCCGTTTTCGAGTACATAGGCTTTATATGCAGAGCCGGGGAGCCTGGAACTGGGACAAAAGAGTTGGGCCTTATAACAAAAGACCATGCTCAGTACAAAAGACTGAGCTGCTGAGCATTACCCAAATTTTTTCGCTCTCTATAGTGGAGAACATCCAGCCTTGTTTTGAAACAGTATACCACGGTTTGAGGCATTTAGCGGGAGCGGATTACCACCAGGGACAAGAGCTCTCCATCACCGCAGTGATGAGCCACACAGCACCGCTGCACGCTAATCTGGCCCCTATTGCAAAGAGGTCAGCAGTGCACTGTGCCGGTTTTGGGAACAAGAGAATCTTACGTAACACCGCACAACCTTTTTCCAAGGATGCAGGCCTGGCTGAAATATTCAGGAGTCAATGAATTTTACCTGTCAGCTTTAGAGTAGTGCCCAAAGAGTCCTTCATTTTGGTATAAACGGCCTTTAAATAAAAAATTCTGAAAACGGAAAATCTTGAAAATGACCCGGCATCTTGTCCTATAGCAAGTGGTTAAAATGGATAGACATGAGAAATATTCCAAGGTAGATCTAGGGGTTAAGGTGGTACCCAGATCTAGGTGGTTAAAGGTGGTACCCAGATCCAGGTGGTTAAGGTGGTACCCAGATCCAGGTGGTTAAGGTGGTACCCAGATCCAAGGGGTTAAGGTGGTACCCAGATGTAGGTGGTTAAGGTGGTACCCAGATGTAGGTGGTTAAGGTGGTACCCAGATCTAGGGGTTAAGGTGGTACCCAGATGTAGGGGGTTAAGGTGGTACCCAGATGTAGGTGGTTTAGGT